CCTCTCTTCGCCAATTAGATTGAGCAAATATTTTTGAAGAAAACATCTCTGGACATACCAACTCGACAGATGAGAAACACCGAAGTTATTTCAATTTGAAGCTCTACTTCCATTGATATGAGTCAAGTGAGCGGGGGTAAAAGCACCACCCCCCCTCCCTCTCCTAAACTATGCTTTGCAATTATTTTTGAATAATTCTTCTGAACATACCAAATTAATAAGATAAGAAATTCCGACGTTATATCAGTTTTCATCTTTACTTCGATTGATATGAGTGAAGGTAGCGGGGGAAGGGGTGGGATCCTAACACCCCCCCCCCCCCTTCTCCAACTTCGCATATGAGATAGATCGATTGTTTTTGAATAATTCAATAATTCAGTCGATGAGATGAGATACTCCGAAGTTATTCCCCCTATTCTGCGAGTCACGTGACTCTCTCTCACCGGTGAGGTGACAATAGTCACCTCGTGTGAGGTGACTCTCCATTTGATTTGCATGGAGAGTCACCTCACACGAGGTGACAATTGTCACCTCACCGGTGAGAGAGAGTCACGTGACTCGCAGAATAAGGAGGATTATCTGACCAGCAGTGTTGGCAGGAAAAGTGATTTTTGGCATTTAATTCAAACCATACATATTTGAACGGCTATAACTTATTTAGATAGGTACATTCTAGCACCGTACTTTCGTCTGCAAAGTTGTTAGATACTTTCTGGGCTATATATGTTTGAACATGATTAGTCGCATGGTTCAAGCAAAATTGTGGTCCCTAGGGATGCAAATGCAAAAAACTAGGTTTCCATACAAATTTCAAACGCAATGCAGAATCCTGGGTTATAACAGAGCTGTGCACGATTCCCTCGGCGAGACAGGGATGTGGGGTAGGCCCAACAAGCCACCCTGGAAAAAAGATAAAGTTGCAAATACTGAAGAAAGAAATACGGATCGGAACAATCGGCAGAGACCTACGCGACGAAAAAAGGACTACGATTGGAAACTCGGAACATGGAACTGCAAATCGTTCGGCTTCCCGGGTTGCGATAGATTAATCTATGACGAACTTCAACCACGCAACTTCGAAGTCGTAGCACTGCAGGAACTTTGCTGGACGGGACAAAAGGTATGGAAAAGCGGGCATCGAACAGCTACTTTCTACCAGAGCTGTGGCACCACCAACGAGCTGGGAACCGGCTTTGTAGTGTTGGGTAAGATGCGCCAACGCGTGATTGGTTGGCAGCCGATCAACACGAGGATGTGCAAGTTGAGGATTAAGGGCCATTTCTTCCACTACAGCATCATCAACGTGCACTGCCTACATGAAGGGAGACCCGACGACAAGAAAGAAGCGTTCTATGCGCAGCTGGAGCAGGTGTACGACGGTTGCTCGCAACGGGACGTCAAAATCGTCATAGGCGACATGAACGCTCAGGTAGGACGGGAGACAATGTATAGACCGGCAATCGGGCCAAACAGCCTGCATGCCGTATCGAACGACAACGGCCAACGATGCGTGAACTTTGCAGCATCTCGGTGGTTGGTAGTTCGAAGTACCTTTTTCCCCCGCAAGGATATCCACAAAGCCACCTGGAGATCACCTGACCACCACACATAAAACCAAATCGATCACGTTCTAATCGACGGGAAATTCTTCTCCGACATTATCAACGTCCACACGTACCGCAGTGCGAACATAGATTCGGACCACTACCTAGTTGCAGTATGCATGCGCTCAAAACACTCGACGGTGCATAACTCCCGTCGAAGTCGAACGCCGCGACCCAACATTGAGCAACTACGGGACGCCGGAGTTGCCCAGAACTACGCGCAGTAGCTGGAAGTTGCACTACCCACGGAAGAGCAGCTTGGCGCAGCTTCTTTTGAAGATGGCTGGAGGGACATCCATTCCGCCATAGGTAGTTCTGCTGCAGTGGCACTAGGTACTGCAATCCCGGACCAACGAAATGACTGGTTTGACGGCGAATGCAAACTGTTAGTAGAGGAGAAGAATGCAGCACGGGCGAGAATGCTGCAACACCGCACGAGATTGAATGTGGAGCGATACAGACAAGCGCGGAACAGACAAAACTCGGTTTTCCGAAGGAAGAAGCGTCAGCAGGAAGACCGAGATCTCGTGGCGATAGAAAATCTGTACCATGTAAACGACACACGGAAGTTCTACGAGAAGCTAAATAGTTCGCGCAAAGGCTACGTGCCGTAAGCTGATATGTGCAAGGGCTTGACCGGTAACCTTCTCACGAACGAGTGTGAGGTGATTGAGAGGTGGAAGCAGTACTATGACGAGCACCTTAACGGTGATGCAGCAGAAAACGAAGATGGCACGGCAGCAAACCTTGGAGCACCCGCAGAAGACGACAGGCTACCGGTCGGCTGAAAAACAACAAAGCAACTGGTGTAGATCAACTACCAAGTGAGCTATTAAAATACGGCTAGAGCGCCGCACTGGGTAATTGCCAAGATTTGGGAGGAGGAGATTTTACCGGAGGAGTGGATGGAAGGTGTCGTATGCCCAATCTACAAAAAGGCGACAAGTTGGATTGCTGCAACTACCGCGCGATCACACTGCTGAGCGTCGCCTACAAAGTAATCCCCCAAATTATATGCCGCCGCCTGTCACCATTCGCAAGAGAGTTCGTGGGGCAATACCAGGCGGGATTCATGGGTGCCCGCGCTACCACGGACCACATTTTCGCGATTCGGCAGGTTCTGCAGAAATGCCGCGAATAAAACGTACACACACACATCATTTGTTCATCGATTTCAAATCCGCATAGGACACAATCGATCGTGATCAGCTATGGCAGATTATGCACGAGTACGGATTTCCGGATAAACTGACGCGATTGGTCAAGGCGACGATGGATCGAGTGATGTGCGTTGTTCGAGTATCGGGGATACTCTCGAGTCCCTTTGAATCTCGAAGGGGGCTACGGCAAGGTGATGGACTTTCGTGTCTGCTATTCAACATCGCGTTAGAAGGTGTGATCAGAAGAGCTGCGATAGACACGAGTGGCACGATATACAGGAAGTCCATCCAGCTTCTTGGCTTCGCCGATGACATTGACGTCATGGCACGGAACTTTGAGACGATGGCGGAAACGTACATTAGACTGAAGGCTGAAGCTAGACGGATTGGATTTGCCATCAACGCATCAAAGACAAAATACATGAAAGGAAGAGGTTCTAGGGAAGACAATGTTAGCCTCCCACCCCGAGTCCCCACCGATTGACGGTGATGAAATCGAGGTGGTCGATGAGTTCGTGTATTTGGGCTCACTGGTGACCGCCGATAATGATACCAACAGAGAAATTCAAAGACGCATTATGGCAGGGAATCGTGCCTACTTTGGACTCCGGAGGACGCTCCGGTCGAATAAAATTCACCGCCGCACGAAGTTGACTGTCTACAAGACGATGATTAGGTCGGTGGTCCTCTACGGCTACGAGACCTGGACTATGCTCGTGAAGGACCAACACCATCTACGGTGGAATGCAGATGGATGACGGAACGGGGAGGAGGCGACTGAACCACGAATTGCACCAGCTGCTGAGAGAACCATCCATCGTCCACATTGCACAAATTGGGCGACTACGGTGGGCTGGGCACGTCGTAAGAATGCCGCACGACGACCCAGTGAAAATGGTTCTAGAAAGCGACCCAACAGAAACAATAAGAAGAGGCGCGCAGCGGGTAAGGTGGACCGACCAAGTAGAAGGCGACCTGCGGACCCTTCGCAGACTACGAGGCTGGCGAAGTGTGGCCATGGATCGAGAAGAGTGGAGACGACTTCTTCGGACAGCAGAGGACAACAAGGCCTTAGCCTGATTGGTAAGGTAAGTAACGCAACGTCATCAACGGTGGTTTGCAAACGGTGTTGCGTTAGTTACGAAAATACGGCATTGTGAATATGGTAATTTTGAATGTATTTAATTTCAGTGATAACCAAACCATCAAAATGTCCAGTAACTCCTACCCTACCTCTCCCCGGTGCCATCTGGGGTACGAGTAATCATAGGAAAAATCGGGTAATCAATTGAGGGGCGGCTGATCATCGTCATCGTACCATAGTGGCACTCTAAACAAAGCTGTACACGATGGTCCTCCGGCAAGACAAAGGGTTGGGGCGGCCCAACAAGCCGTTCTTAAGAACAATCAGGGTGTTGACTCAGTGATGAAAAATAATTTCCCTCATTTTCCAGTCGTTTTCCTGAAAAATTCCTGACAGGGTTGGAAAGGAAATCAAAAATAAATGAAGCATGGTTTGATTACCAAGTAAATCATAACGCTCGTCATCTATTAATAGTCACCATTTTGGCTGCTCGAATGAAGTGGTTAATTTTAAGAAACTCGGACACGAATACAAAAAAAAAAACAGTCAGAACATTCTGAGAATGTTGTTTCTGAAGGATTTTCTTAAAATCAACATCTGAGAAAAGCTTTTTATTTGCGGAAAATCATTGAAGTCAACGTTTTACTGATACTTAGACGAAATTTTAGAAACAGTATTTGAGTAAAACATAAAAAGTAACAAACACAAATCCGGACTGATTCGCTTCTGTAAACAAAAAAGCTAAATAATGCAAACAAACTATACCAAATGGTAGAAGAATGGTTCCTCTGTCATTTGGTATAATTTGTTTGAGAGAAATTTAAGTTATTAATTCTGGCAAAACTTTAGTACCTACTTGGTTCTGTTTAGATAGCACTTACCAAATCGACGGGCTTTGCTAAAATTTGCACCCACCCAACCCAACTGTCCCCATCCCTTCCCCCACACCAACACCAGTGCAAGGCCAGAGTGGGCCAAAAGAATGATGAGAGGAAAAAATAAACTTTGTGACACTTCACCTCTTCTTATTGTTGTTATTACTACAGTGATCGCTACTATCCAACGGACTGCCACCAAGAAGGGGCAAAAGAACACAACACCCAAAACAAAGCACTGCTGGGAGATGCAATCTTTTTCAGCTGATCAACCTACCTTCACAGCATCGAACCAGCTCAACTCTGCCGAGATTTCCCGAATCGAACTTGGAGTAAAAAGTATAACCAGCGCACTCAAAATTATCAACCATTTTCTTTTTCAAATTTCTTCATTCCTTTCCCAACTGGCTCGGCACAGTTGCTCTGGTCGGGGTCTTCCAGCCAGTAGCAGACCAACCTTCCTTTTATTTCACTTATTCCTCACAATGCACTCAGCTCACTGCTCTTTTCCAACTCACAATATACTAGCCACTTCCAATGGGGCACAATTTGGAACACTATTTTCTGGCAATTTTCGGACTGCAAAACACTCCCGACCGAACAGAAATTCCAATCCCAGTGCACAGGGAAAATCTCCTGGTAAATTTTTCCTTTCTTTCCACCCTTTTTGCACACTAACTTCTGCTGCTGCTGCTGCTACTAGTGCGAACACAAAAACATTACGTCATTTATAGCAGCTAGCAATACATTCACATGAAGCTTCTTCCCCAACTGACTGCGATTCTCGCCCGTCCGAAACTTTTGTCCGTCGATCGTGAGAGCTCGCGATGAACTGAAAGGGGAAACTTCTTGCCGCGCACGAAAGGAAAAGCCAACACAGACGTCGCTTTAGGGAATGAGTTGAAAGTGGAACCGGGTTTGGAAGGTTAGGTATAATTGCCGCTGTACCCACCAGCAGCACGGCAAGAAAAAAAAATGTCAGCTTCGTGTTCCATGTTTGAAGTCATGTGATATTAATGTTTAAAATAAAAATAATATTACGTTTATTTTAAAAATATTCGTGTTGAAAATAAACGTGAATATTTTTGTTTGGTTTGACAACTATGCGAACAAAAATAAATATAGTTGAAGATGCTAATTTCAAATAACAGACTGTAGTGGTAATTTTTATATCACACTTAGAAAATAGTACCGAACTCGGTTCAATTTCAACCGAGTTTTTATCTGCTGAACGCTCGGTAGTCTGTTCGGTTCAAAAAGAAACAACCGAGTGTTCGTTAAAGTTTCTTTTCCCACAACCTGTCAAACTAACCGAAAAAACTCGGTTGACAAAAAGTCAATTCAAGTAGGAATAACCGAACATCGGTTTACCCAAGTATTACCGAACGCTGTCAAACAAACCGACTCACCGGTTGCAATCACGGAATTCGGTTCTTTTTGACAGCGCTCAAATCCAAAAACTTACGATGTTTCGAATCAGAAATAAAACTAGTTTTTTATTTTAATGAGATGCATGATTTATATTATATTTGTCAGATGTTGTTTTAATGCATAAATATGCTCTGTATGTACTAACTATTGACAACAAACTTGAGACGAACCGGAAAATTATGGCTCACCTGTGCGGGGGGAAAGAGAGGGTTAACCCCCTTGAGGGAAACATAAAACTTCTCACACGTCGTGATAATGCCTCCTACATGGAATTCAATCAAACATGCAGTTCCTCCAGAAGTTTTTCCATTTTCAAATCGATTCACCGTGTGACACTAACGAAAAAACACGTCTTGCGAAAAAAAAACACAACGCGCACCCGCGAGAAAAAATAGCTGACGATATTTGGTTTAGCTGAAAACCGAGTTTCGGTTAAAATTTCCGTCGTGAAGTTGAACCGAAGTTGTGAGTTTGACGTTTGAGGAAGTTTAGCGAATATTCGGTTCAGTTTACCGAGTTTTCTCGGTTTTCAAGTACCGAACTGGTAAATATCGCTACTTTACCGTACTTTTCGGTTCAGTCTTCATTACAACATATTTTTACACGAATTCTTCGGTTCGTTGTTGGTAACCGATGTAGTTCGGTAGAAAATTAAACCGACTTCGGTATTATTTTCTAAGTGTGTACGATAGATGGAGTAGATGAAAGCATACATTCAAATGCAAGTAATAATTTAAAATTAAGTATATGTTTCTTTCAAACATATTATTTAACATTTATAATATTTATATACATATATAAAATTAGGTATGTTTCTTTCAAACATAAGAAGCATGTTTAAAATAAACATTTTTTTTTGACTATTAGTTTTAGAATTACTTCTACGTGAAGTCAACGATTTACATAGTTGAAGATGCTAATTTCAAATAACATACTGTAGTGGTAATTTTTATACGATATATGGAGTAGATGAAAGCATAGAGTTGATAGTTCCGTTAGAGTACGGGAGTAGGAAGATTGCATATAGATATTAGAATAGCGAGCTAGGACAACTTTTAAGGAAGGTACAAATCGGTTTTTTCATCTCTCTTTACCAAACTCCCCCTTTGGAGAGGGATGGTGAGGGGTGTCATCTACTCCATCTATCGTATGAAAATTACCACTACAGTCTGTTATTTGAAATTAGCATCTTCAACTATGTAAATATTCTAATATCTAAATTAAATTTTTAACATTAGAATTCGGATTTTAAAAAAATTAACTAAACTACACAGCAAAAAAAAATGTAATATCGATCAACGTAATTCAAGCTGATGCATGAAATAATGATGTAATAGCAAAAATCAGATACAATATTACATCAATGGATGTAATTTTGTTCGCAAAATCGATGTACATCGTACAATGTGATATTACACAACCGATTGATTGACTTGGTTGCAGCAGTTTCGATGTAATATTCAACAACTTTTTTTGCTGTGTAGAACCGATCGCGTTGACGACTCAAACTAGAATACCTTTATTGAATTATTTGTTACATCGACGAGCCCTGACTTTGTCCCTAAAAACGCTAGCCTAGCACTTGGTAACGACGATGGGTCTCCTCTGGTGTCCGGTGTCTCCATGTGTCCGTCGCTGGCCTGGGATAATGCTGACTTCGCTGTCCTGGTGTTAGCTTGTGGTGCGGCTTCGATGTCTTCTATGGTCGGTGAAGTGGTTGCGTGTTTAACTTCTATATGCAATTTTCACACTGCCGTTCTCTAACGGAACTATCAACTCTGATGAAGCAAAAAAAAGGATTGCAAAGAGATGAAAAAACGATCTGCAGACAGGGCATCTGAACTCCTGCTCTTTTTCGGGTGCGATTAAGGGTGGGATGTGGATGTTGAGGTCCTGGTGCGAGATGCGGGGACCCATCGCGGTGAGTGCACCGACAACCCGACATGACACTTAATTCTGACCTATGTCCGAAAATCGTAAACGGCCGATTTAAATGTGCAGTGATCCGAACTGTCAAAACCATAGGATTTTTTGATCTAGATAAAAATAACTTTTCTCTAGGGGCATCCCACTCTAAACTTTGTAATTTTCCCAATATACATATAAAGATCTTAGTGATATCTAAGATACCTAAAAATACTTAAAAATACTTAAGAAATATCAAGCATTAGTTTATTTTCTTGGTTGCTATACCAATTCCATTAGCTTGTTTATAAAATGTCAGGTGTTTTATGTTAATACTGGTCAGTTTGTTAAGAAACTAACATTTATTTGATTAATAGCGTGAACAGCTAGGTGTTTCGGATTATTTCCGGTGTAATCATGTGTCATGTACCAAAAGGAATTAATTCTGAGAGACATGTGAACCTTTTGTTGTCGTTCGTTAGATTTAAGTTTTATTATTGTCATACCTAGTGAATTTTGTGTTGTTCTTTTAGTCCGCTACGTTCTTGACTATGTGACGATGACTACGCCCGCCTATTAAACGCATAATTAGATGTGACGAAACCATGCGACCATACTATCACCCATATTCTCGTTCACATTCGAACAGTATTTTAAACAAGAATATGGGTGTATTACTCGTACCCAGATCTCTTAGCTTCCCAGCTTCTTAACGTTTAGCTTTCTTTATTTTTTCATACGTATAATAAAAACAAACAATATGATATGTTCAATGTGATGCTATAATTTCATGACTTTAAAAAAAATTAACATTCTGGAAGTTAATTAAATAATACACATGGTCAAAAGCTTCCGGAAAGAAACGAATCACGCCCAGTGGATCAACAAACTTCCCTTCCTAAGTTTTCTCAGACATTTTTGCGCTCCTAAAATTTTATCAGCGCTTCCTCCACGCAGTATTCTCTTGGTCTGCTTGGAATCAGAATATTCTGCAAAAGAAGATATACGTAGTCAGATGATCCGCTGCTCGCTGGTAGTTGACATGTGTAGAAAATTTAATACTCATTCATCAGCTGGATCTTATATGTGAGCCATTAAACAATTTAAGATATCACTCGATCGGAAGATACAGTTATATTTGTACTCCAAACATCGTTTTTTTGTAACTAGCTCTTGAAGTTATGCATTTTTGAAATCTGAATTGCTGAAAAATTGAAATAATACTATTGTATACACATAATAAAACGATAGAAATACTTACCCCTTTACACTCATATGATTTTTCTATAAATACAAGACGACTGACAACAAACAACTACACTAGCAACAGGTCATAAAAAAACAAGTGTTACTACGATGGAATCTAGCCAAGGTTAGAAATACTTAAAAATACCTAAGAATACTTGCGGGAAACTTAAAAATATTTGATTGATATTTGGTATGAAGTTTAGAGTGGGATGCCCCTAGACTTTTCTAGAATAAATCAGACACGAACCAATTTATAACTTTTGCATGCGGGTTCATGGCCTAGCTAAATATATCCAACGAACACGGAGCCAGATGCTTGGCCAGATGTCAGTAGTGTGTCTTGGTCAGAAATTTTATTGTTTTTGCTATGGTCATTCACGTCGGTTTGTCGGTGGTGTCCGGAGTGTCCGGAAGTTCCAGCTCAGTAAAACCAGTGAAACTTTGTGATATTAGCGTCGTTTTGTCGTTTCTAACTCTGGTCCTCATACCGGCCTCTTTCTACGTTCGGTGTTGGAGGAGAAGGGGCTGGAGCCTGGGCTGGAGGATCCGGAATAGATTCAAAATCCATTTCGGATTTTCGTTTTTCTACCGACGTCAGTTGTGGAGGAGGATGATACAGGGATCGGCATCAGAAACGACAGAGTGACGTCGATCCTGTGGGATTCTATCGGTTTTATCGAGCTGGAACTTTGTCAAGACACTTACCTAGGTGGGTTTCCGGATCCATGACTTCGGTTTTGTTACGGGTCGTTTTTGTTGGAAGTAAGTAGTGAAAGCCCCTGGATACGCGCATCTATCATGTGAGTCTCTATAGTGGCTCCCAAGATCGAGAATGACAGCTGCCGTATGAGTGTGTATGAGTGCGTGAGAGTGAGAGACTGACGAAGCATAAATTGCTGATGTGTGTACAATTTATGTTTGTTGACTAGTCCATTGTAACTTGTAAATAAAGACGCACGTAGAACGTAGTCCGCGGTTATTTTTCTTTGGTATCACGCGACTCCCGAGACGGGTGTTTATTGTCCGGTAGTTCGGTTTGGATAAACCTGTGTACGTCTGCTTGCGCTGGGATTCCCACAGGTTATGGGCCCAGATCCGTGAAGAAAGTAATAGTGGAAAAGTGTTCTCCGGTGGAGGAGACATTTTGTGTGGATTGCGTTGCGTTTGTGTTTTGTTTACGAGAAGATTTCCCCCGGCGGGTGTATGTGCTGTTGTCCGCAGCTGAACGTTTTTGTCGGGTGAAATTGTGCTGTTGGCAGTGGAGTATCGGCCAAGTGTGTAGCACGGAACGGAATACGAAACGGAAAAAGTTTTGTTCGAGGAGGAGAAATTTTGTTTTTCTCTCCTGTACGGGCTGAAGTGCAAACTTATTGTTTGCTGGTCCGGTCTCTAAAAGTGCGATTGTTTGAACTGAAGAAGTACGCTTCGTTCGGAAAAAGCTTATAGTGGAATAAGAAAGAACACTTTGTGGAAAGTATCGAATTGTGAACATTGTTCACTCGATTGTGAAGCTGTTTTCTTTGCCCGACCGTGCGCGTAGTGTTTTTGTTTCGTGGAAAATGGCCGAGACGAAGATAACATTAGACCGGTTGAACGATTTTAATTGGGCAACTTGGAATTTCCGGATGGAGTTGTTGCTGCTCAAAGAAAATCTGTGGACAACGGTGATTGACGCGAAGCCGGAGGTGGTTACAGCAGCTTGGACGAGGAACAACGAAAAGGCTCGAGCGACGATCGGTTTGGCGCTAGAAGATGGTCAGCTGTGCCATGTTATGGGAGCTGCTAGTGCAAAGGAGATGTGGGACAAGCTCAAAGGCTACCACGAGCGAGGGTCTCTGTCGAACAAGATCCATGTACTGCGGAGATTGTGCTCGATGCGGCTGAAAGAAGATGGCAGTATGTCGGAGCATCTAGTCCAAGCGTCAGAGTTGGTTCACCGACTAGTCAGCATGGGAGAGCCGTTGAAGGAACATCTTGTTGTGGCGATTTTGTTGTCAAGTTTGCCGGAGACGTACAACCCGCTCGTTACTGCTCTTGAAGGCCGTCCAGAAGAAGACCTGAAGCTGGAGTACGTGAAAGGTAAGCTTCTAGATGAGTGGCGGAGAAGATGCGAGAACAAAGTGCATGAAAAGGCCAGTGAAATGGCGATGAAAACCACAATGCGATCGGAAGAACGGAGAAGTTTTGTACGGGTTTGTTACCATTGCAAGCAAGAAGGGCACTTGCGGCGAAATTGTCCTGTGTTGATGGCGGAGAGGCAGCAGAACCAAGCGAAGTCGATGGTGGTTAAGCAATCGGATGCCGGTAGCATTGGCAGTAGTCGAGGAGTGTGCTTCACGACGACGACTGCAAGTGATGTGTCGATTGACGGTCGTTGGATCATCGACACTGGCTGTACGAAGCACATGGCTGGTTCGACGGCGAGCTTCGACAGCATGACGTTTTGCGAAGAGAAGGTGTCGTTGGCGGACGGGAGAAATGTAACTTCCAGAGGAACCGGACATGGAAGGATCGTTGGAGTCGGCTTGGAAGGCGAGTCCGTTGACATGCAACTGAAGGGATTGCTGTATGTGCCTGGATTGTCCGGAAGTGTGCTGTCAGTGAGCCAAATCACAAGCAATGGCTATGATGTGCTGTTTGGTGTGAAGGATTGCAGAATCCAGAAAGGCAAAAAGGTTGTTGCTATAGGTGACCGGATCGGAGGGCTGTACTACCTAAGGCAGCCGGTAGTGACGTAAAGCAGGAGGAGTGCTACGGAACAGGAGGAGTGTTGTAAGTAGATGCAGTAGTGGGCTTCACTAAGGAGGAGTGTTGGAAGTAAGTAGTGAAAGCCCCTGGATACGCGCATCTATCATGTGAGTCTCTATAGTGGCTCCCAAGATCGAGAATGACAGCTGCCGTATGAGTGTGTATGGGTGCGTGAGAGTGAGAGACTGACGAAGCATAAATTGCTGATGTGTGTACAATTTATGTTTGTTGACTAGTCCATTGTAACTTGTAAATAAAGACGCACGTAGAACGTAGTCCGCGGTTATTTTTCTTTGGTATCACGCGACTCCCGAGACGGGTGTTTATTGTCCGGTAGTTCGGTTTGGATAAACCTGTGTACATCTGCTTGCGCTGGGATTCCCACAGTTTTCAGTTGATTGGTAAAGCTGGAGCAATTTTTTTTTCCGAATGTAAACAAGAAGGAAAAAAAAGGCAAGGCACGCTAAAAATCGTTTACCCAAATTCTATTTTGTTGAAATAAACATGCTTTTGACTTTAATTCAAACACATATATTTCTGTTGAAAATTCATTATTCATATGTTTATAGAATGAACATTTATATTTTTGATTTAAATGAACAAAATTCGGTTCCGTGCTGGATATCAGTATCGTGATTTGAGTAGAAATTGCATGGTAATTGGGTTGTTTTACTTTGAAAAATATACCAATGTTTATACATCATCTGATAGAGCTTTGTTTTCTGGGCACAACGATATTTTTATCGATCCTGTGGACATTCATCTCGATTTTTAAAACAAGATTTAAATTTTTGATCGTGGACACTAAGTCTATTCGTTGACAGCTCGCTCCCATACAAAGTCCCACCAAGGGGCGCTAAGATGGTGATTTTTTGCTAATGTAATCGTACTTATTTAAAATAATTCAAGTGTACCAAAATTGATGAAATTTTGAATTTTTTAATGGAGATAACGAATATGTATTTACCTCAACACCCCTTAACAACCCAATTTCTAAGTCATTCATTTAGATTTGTTGGTGACTTTAGAACGGTTAGCAACGGATATTTTGGAATGGTTCAGTTTATAGATAAGGTTCTTCAAAAGAATCGTGGTTTATAAATATTGTCTGCCCGATTTTTCAGCAAACCCGGTTGTGTCATCCCCCTCGATTTTGGACAGTGGACTTTTTACTGTTTTTACTCGGGATGCCTTGTTTGACGTTTCTGCCATAAAACAACAATAATTTTGTTTATTTTCAATTGCCAGGCAGTCTCCGGATTTGGCTTCGCATAATAAATCAAAATTCATTCACAAGTTTGTGAAGCTTTTTTTGTGAGAAATAAATTAGAAACTAATAAGTTTTAGCAAGCAATTTCTTCATATACATGGTATACGTTCTATTAAAACAACAATGATTAGTGCTTTGGTGTTTTAAATTGCATCTCTCGCACTCTTGCAGGACCCCTTCTGGTGTGCCCTATCGAAGGATGTCGGACGCATCCCGGAAACGATCAAACACATCTTGGAGGTGACCGAGTACATAAATGCTGCTCTAGCGTTCGTCGGCAACGAGGAAATAGCAGCCATCGAAGACGACATCCGACGGTTGCCGGAAATCATGAACAAACCAGCCAGTGATCCCTCGATGAGGAAATATTTTGGGAGATTCACCCACAACCCAGATCGGTTCCGGTTGATGGCGGGCGAGAAGGCCGTTCTGAAGATGATTGCCAGCTGTATTCAACGGAAAGGAATTACGCACTATCTTAAGACGGCGGAACGGCGCGAAAAAGAGGTGGTTGTTCCGGCCAATATAGACAAACAAGCCAACGAGGTGCGGAAAAAGATTGTGGATTTCTTCACTGACAGATGCGACGGAAGTGTCGGTCAGGTAGAATTTTGCAATCGCATTTCTACGCTTAATATTGAGGTATCGGAAGCGGACGATAGTGGAATGATTGCCAGGGTAAGATGCATATTTTGCACCAACGAGAATGACATCACCTGCCGGCCGGAGCGATCAGGTGGCACTTGGAAGGTTTCCAACTTCTTAGCTCACATCCGAAACGTGCACAAGACGCTCAATGTGCCGAGTTCGATGGGACGTGGCGTCGGTACAGCGGGATCAAGCAAATCGCCCCCAACCGAACTGTCCGCCGGAGAGTCAGGTTCCAATGGGTACGGTTCCTACGAGTACTGGTCCAACTCGAACGATGTGAGCTCTAGTTATGAGCAGAAGGCGGTCCAGCCCGTTGGACCAACGATGGAGGAATTTGGCTTTGTCGTCAAGGAGGAAAGATATTTACCCGAATAGTAGTCATACTGTAATCAGTATGGATAATTATTTTAATTTAAGAACGGAATGAAAATATAAGAGTTATCAGTCTCTGAATCCGAATAGCTTAATGAATGTGGCGTCCATGAACTTGGAGCACACATAATCATTGGGGTTTCACGATTTCAGCACATTTCACAGCCACGGTTTCAGCAGCCAACCACCTGACCGTTGTCCTTTGTTGAGATCGCATATTGGCAGTTTTCAGCCGAACATGAGCACCCATGTAAATCCTTGAAACAAGTTTGGTCGATTTCCTAGTTAGGGTCTTCCGCGCATTCCACTCGTTCTTCTCGTGGCAATGCGGACATTTTTTAAGGCAATCTCGGGGGTACCAGTAATATTTGACTAGTGGATTTACGGATGAACAATCCAGTTGACAAATAGAATGAAAGCTGGACACAGGATTGTACGCTTGTAACTGGTCCCAACAAATCCAGTACAGTTGATTGGAGAGGTGTCGTAATTCTTCCGGAACCCGCAGATGTAGTGGAAGGAACGATTACAGTTGCTGGTATTGCATTGATCGAACCCGAATTTTGGTAACAACAGTAGCACACCTTTTCACGATAGTGAACGAAAGACTGCTTCACATCACTCGATCGAAACCCAAGAGCTCCGGCTGAATCCGACACGCCTCGTTGATCCATGTCCGTAACGGAAAGGAATCAAAAGTAGTGACACCGCAAAACATCCCTGTTTCTCGATAAAGGGCCCAAATTGAATAGTGTTCTTCTCCGACAGGAGGCATATGTCGCAAGGGAATCCCTCTTTCGAGCTGATTAGCCTCAGACGCGCGGTTTGGATCACGACCGGCACCGACGGACTGGACATGCTGGCTGCCGATGACGATATCAGATGCTCCGTTATGAGTCGTGTTGAAGCTGGAATATGAAGATTAGGTAAGTACCTACTCATAGTGTCTTTATCAGCGCAACATTATAAGTGCTTCCTTACTCTACAACTGGAACGGCAAATGACTTTTATTATATACTAACGGAAGTGTCCAGAAGAGTACTGGGACCGCACGAATGCTCATTCGGCGAAAGGTAGATCGTAAACGGAAGCATAGTCGGCAGAAGAGAAACTGTACGCGATCCAGACTGGATCACGGATGGTTTTGATCTTCCATGATATCTTCGGGGAACTCCATTGATTTCCATGATGAAGTTTATTATTATTATTTATTATTTTATGTTTTTATTTGCTTGCATTTGAAATCAAGAAGTGCACGAGAAACTAACTTTTTTTTGTGGCTGCATACTTTTTTGATTTATTAATCCCGCCTAGAGATGTCCGACCAGCGTTGACAGATTGTTTTAAAGCTTATCGGTATCAACACGCTCCTTCAATGTTACTCAAAAGTGAGTAAAAATCTACTCTCTTTCGGTAAAAGTGGAACTACTCTAAAGTGAGTAAACCTATAGTTACTCACTTTTGAGTAATGCTAGCATTTGTCAAAATCAGAGTAACTTGCACTCAGTTCTGATATGCGGTAAAACAGCATATCTGAGTAAATGTTACTCAGTTCATGTAAAATTGACCGTTTTTCAAAATGAGTAATAAATTGTTTTGATATTAATAATATTTATATGAAAAATCAAAACGGTAGAACAAATAATTTTATTAAAAGACAAAAAAATCTGCATTTCAATTATGTCCACGACGTCCGATGTATCATCCCATCACATTTTCTAGATAACCCTCTTGTTCCTGTTCCAATTCCGGGGGATGGTTCATAATGATGTGCGACTTCAATGTTTTGAACCGGGTGTGTAAAGATCCACATTTGGAGTATTGGAACGGTAAATCAGCACTGCTGGTATTGAAATAATGATCATGTTGATTGTGGGATTTTAGTTCTGCTACATATCCTGGAACAAATCTTTGAAACACGGGGAGATGGCAACCAAAACCTTCTAAAAAGATTTAATTAGGTGCTTTAATTTTCAAGTGCTTCATTTTCATACCTTTTTAACTTAGCGAACGAATCCTAACCTGCAGCCACTTGATCCATTCCTTTCTCCTAAATTTACAAACATGAATGGGAAATCGGAAGTTCCATCACCAACGATATTTTTCACTTTTGTCCAAGCTTTTGTCACAAGCATTTGACATAAGCACAGTGAGTAAAATTTGTGCAGGATTACTCAAAAGTGAGTAAACTTTGTTTTTAAACAAACAGAGTAGTAGTTACTCACTTTGCTAAATCAATGTTACTCAGATTTTGACATTTTGTACAAAAATACCAAATTGAGTAGAAGTTACTCACTTTTGAGTAACATTGAGCGAGCGTGAAGGGTATTAAAAAATCGGTATTTATCGGTATTTACCTGAGGGAGAGTCGCGTAGAGAGAAAAATGGAACGTTAAATCAACCGGTGAACACTCGTGTTTATTTCAGTTACCATGGAGACGTAATTTGTGATTAGCCCCGGTCCCTTTCAAATTGTATCATTATTTATGAACGGCCTTATATTTGAAATGACGTTTCACATTCATCTAGTGATGTCCAATTTTCATTCGAATAATCGTTTAATCGATTAACGAACCGAAAAGTAAACTATTTGTAATCGGTTAGATCATGCCGATATAAGCATTAACATCTCCACAGGATCATCACCGATCGTTTCAAACATGTGCTGCACTCTCATTGGCAGAAAAATGGCAGCACAGCGAACAAAAAATAATCGATAAGTTGTTAATCGAGTAATTAAAAAATGGGACATCTCTGATTTAGGTGCGTTTGTTTTGATAAAAATGAGCGCAAAATTTCATCTCTACCGAGGGGGCAGCAAAACCACAAAATTACCTTGAATACGGAGGGTATTCATTGGATGAAAGGGACCGTGAAAGAGGACACTAAAATAGAAAGTTTTTCTTCCGACAGTTTCATCTTAGTATTTATCTTTGGTTAAATGCAGCCAGACGGCTACTGTCACGAACTTTCATTGGGAGCCAAGCAATTGTATGATGCTTTTCTTACAGTTGAACAAGAATACACAAGGCTGTATTGAAATCTTGCGTAAAACAATTTATGATAAACTGTTGTTTTTAATTCATTTAAAATACACACAAATCAATATTGAAAGATACCATCAATTAAGGTTTTGTCAAAACATCTAGTAGCGTAATAAAATACCAAACAGAAAAGTACAGTTTCTCACTCCACGCTGAATAATCTCAAACAATCACTACACGCTCAAAGCAAAACACGCGATTTTGCTACACCTGTTTTGATTTGATTTCAATGGCATAAACTTTCATGACAAGTAGAACAAGTATGCAATGAATTCCGTGTGTGCTATCTGCTTCTCCCTCCCAAGTATTTACTATTTAATTAATTTGATATTTTTTGCCGTTTTTGAAAGCGAAAATTTTAACGATGGTGACGACTGGGACTTGAGGAGAATTGCATTGTTTAACGGCACAGTCTTAAAACAGTCTTTAATATTTTCAATTTAATTTTGAAAATTATCGTTGTCCTCAAGTGGCGATAAAAATTGTGAGTAAGTAGTTTTTTTTCAAATAAATATCTTTAAATGAAACCAAAATATGGAAAATCAGCCATAACAACGACTAAACTATTGGCAATAACGACAAACAATATTTTCACTTGAAAAAGGCCACAACCTATGGCCGAAATGTCGAGCAGATTACATCGTAGCCGTTGCAGTGTTTTAAGACTGAGAAAGCCGTTAATCAAAGCAAAATTTTAGCTTTTGTACAATGATCTGAAAATTCCGGAAGAAAACTCCGGGGAATGTTTGAATTAGTTTCTGAGCAAATCCGAAAAAAAACATCCAGAGAAATACTAAAGAAGCTCTCCTGGATGAAGTTCAAGGAAAATTCTAAGAATAGTTGGAAAAACATCCGGGAAACTTCCAAGACACGAATTGAGAAACTTGTGGTGAAAATTTAAATAAACTATCAGAAAAAATCGGATGTCACATCTAAAGGAAGCCAGAAAAGTTTCGAAAACCGGAAGTTAATTTTCCGAAGTAGCCATTTCTAGTGAAAGCCAGAAGAAGCTCGGAAAAATCTTCCAGTAGAAGTTGAACAAACTTATGGTCAAACTTCCAGAATTTAGACGAAAGAAATTTCTGGGAGAATTAATTGAACTTCCTGGAGAAGACGAAAGAAGCTTCCTGGAGACGCTGGCAGAAACTTCAGGTAGATTGGAAGAAAAATCTGACAAAAGTCGGAAGCCAGAGCGCTTACGGAACAGTCGAAAGAAATAAGGACATAATTTCGGAAGAAATAGATTTCTGAGGGATGTTCTAATGATCCAGAAAAGTTTCCTGATATGCATAAAACATCCATGAAGACTCCGCAATTTCCCTGAAGTTTTCGGAACATTCCTGAAATGCACTTGGGAATATTCCATAATTCCTCGAAAATCCTTAAAAGTTCTTTTAATTTTCCTGAAATTAGGTGTTGTTTTGGAGTTCTCTGGTCATCTTCGAAGCGCTCGGAATTTCCCTGATTATAGTAAGACTACCGGAATATCTCTAATCATCTTTGAAGGTCACTGGACTTTCTTGAAGATTACGAATTTTTTTTAAGTGCTCTCACAATTTTCTTGAATTTATTGTAACATAAGCAATGAAGTTCTCTGATCTTCCCGATTTTTTTTTTAATTTTTAAAAGTTATCGACACTGCATTAAAAAGCATAGAACTTCACATAAAATGTTCTCACAATGTTCTACTGTTCATGTAAATTCCCTTACGTTTCCTAAATTTGCATGAGGCCCTCAGGGCATTGCTGAAGTTTTCGGAAATTGCCTGAGTTTCTCGGAACTCCTTTATAATTTAAGTTCCTGAAAACCATTACATTTCCCTGAAGTTCTTTGGACTTGTGACGTTTCTAAAATATTTATGATGTTTCCTTAAGTTCACTGGAGTTCGCAGGACTTTTCTGAAATTCCCGGGTTTTCGAATTAAAACAGAAGTTAATAAAACTGTCTTTAAATTATCGAAACTTACACAAAAATCTGGACTTTTCTGAAGTTACT